CAGATTATTGTTGTTGTGTGATGTACGTACGTACGTACATATACGCAAATTGCGAAATATAACTAATTAATTTGCTCGCGCGAACAAACTGCTGTGTAAAATTTTTGAAAAAAAATTAACTAAAAAACAACAAGGGGAAAGCAAAACTTTCAATTCTGTGAAGCCAGATTTTGTTGATAATCTTTTTGTTATCTATCTTGTTGTTGTCGTTATCTTACAAAGATCACCGTGTTTAATTAACCTACGACCAGGTCATAGTTTGTAGTCGTCGTCTGAACATGACTTTTTTTAACGATGATGATGACTACGAGGACAACTGAACGAACGAACAAACGAACAACAAAGACATAGGACCGACGGAGCCAGACATGACTCTGAGCTACTGACCCGAATGACTACCTGACTACCTAACCTGATGATGATGATGACTACCTGAAGTCCTTCTTCAATAATCATCATCATCATCATTGGTTATAACCAAAAAAAAAGTTGTCGATTGATTATCATCATTCGAAATGTTAGTGGTCATCATCATATTTATCAACATTGGTGGTAACAACAAATCAAATATCATCGATATAATGGTCATTTAGTTTTCGAACAAGCAAATAACAGTAGCCATTGAAGAAATGAAACAAAATAACAGCAATATATGGTCAGCAAAAATGACCCAACGATATTTTTTTCAATGAAACAACAGAAAAAAATTGATGTTATTGTGTAAATCTCCCTTTTCACACAAACTATCACTTTATCATTATCATCAACAAGTGAAAATGTATGTATTACATAGATGGACATGGTTGATAGTTGTAATGGATAGAGATGGAGAGAGTGATGGTTAGTTAGTTGTTGTTGTTGTCGTCAACATAAATAATAACGAAAGAAAAAAAAAGATCGTGATTCGACTCAAGTTCCGGGATCATTCGGCGTCGAAATTATTTATTATTAAAGAAAACGATGAACGAAAAAAGTTCATCAAACAACAACGATACAGGTAACCAATGAACATGATGATGATAGTGGTGGTGGTTTTGGACATTTCTTTTATTTATATCATAAAAGAAAAACCACCAGAAATTTTCATCATCAGTTTTTCAGTCATTCAATTGAACCTGGATTTTAAATTTTTTTTTGATTTGTTTTTTTCTCTCTCACTCATTAACAGAAATCTTTTTGTTTTTCTTAACGAAGCAGCGAAAGGTAGGGAATATACCAAGAAAAAACATCCAAAAACTGGTCATTCAAGTCGTGACGCCAATGGCCAATATAAATTATATAATTTCATCAATATTAATATCTATGATTATGATACCTAGCTTGATATGATTCATTCATCAAATTGATAATACAAACACATCAATCAACCGATTGGATAAAAAAAGGGTTAATGATTCTTTCAGAAATGCGCATGACAACCAAAAACTACCGGTGACAATGAACTCTTTTCTGGAATTTTAATTGATTGATTTTTATTTGAAAAAAAATTGTCAACAGCAACAGCGACAACAGTGATAGATAGATAAAGCAGACAGAAAATTATTTTGAATTTGATTGGATAACGAAAAAACTGACGTGTACTGTTGATATATAGCACACTTGTTGCTTGTTTGTTTGTTGCTTGCATAGTGTTAACACAATATAAGTGGTATTGGCACGCCTATTTGTTGTATAAAATTAGTTATAAAAAAGGCGGAGTTTATGAAAAGTCAAATATTTCCATCATCAAAAATGATGAACAACAGGTGAAATACATTAAACTAGAACCAAATTTGATTTGATTTTTCTTCAATGACAATTTGGGAATTTAAATTGAATAAAAAAACAGAAAATTTTTCATTGATGAAATAATCATCATCATTATCGTTGATCCTGTTTTGTCGAAATAGAAAGAAAGAAAGAAAGAGATAGAAAGATAGTTTTGGCAGATACAATTAGTTCATTATTATTGATGTTTTTTTTTTGCTTGCTTGATGATGATACCCTTCTTCTTCTCTTTTTGGTAAGTTCAAGTTCAAGTTTTTTTTCTGTTGTTGTTCGCTTCGCAAGGTTAAACCAATCTTCATCATCATCAATATTGAATGAAAATCTGTGTGTAGGTATTATGAATGAATGAATGGATAACAGTAGAAGAATCAAGAGGATCAAAGATTACAGATCACGATTTTCTAATTTGTCATTGTATGATGATGATGATGATGATGGTTTCAAACAATCTATCTATCTATCTATCAAAGGGGATGTTGTATAATCATCATTATCAATTGGCCAGGTGAATGAATGTAGATTGATTGCGAGAGAACCAGGTATAAGACAGGTATCAGGTAGGGTAGAAAAAAAAGGAAAACAATAGAAATGATAAAATTTGATGATGGAGACAAACAAAAAATCTAAACAAATCAATCAGGTTAGTTTAAAGAAACTAACTAACTAATTTCACTAACTAAGTTCATTTATGAATCTCGGGAAAAATGAATTGAATGGAGAATTTTCATTGCAATCAAACATCAGGCAAGCAAAACAACAAAAAAGTTCAATAGCATCATCAGAATGATGATGATGATGTTTTACTGGTTACAAACCGATACATCTTGTTTTATAAAAATCAAATTTACTATCCTTTTTTCTTCTTTTCATCCTTGTCTGTTGTTGTTGCCAATCAAAAATTGCAAAAAAAAAGTTTTGGTTTGAAAACTTTATGAGAGAGTTCACCCAATAGAGAGAGTTACGTAACCAATTTTTTTTTCTCCACCTTTTCGTTTTTCATTCCATTGCCAAAAAAAACTAGTTAAAGGTAAAAGAAAAGAATTTTTCCTTGTTGTTGTTGTTGTTGTTGTTCAACTTCTTTGTGAACAACAAAAATCAAGTTATGGAAATTTTTTGCTCTGTCGCTATTTGAGGAAATTTTTCTGGATTTTTTCTTCCTTCACAATGATCATTCGATCGATTTGGTGATCAAAGATTGGGCGCCCAAAAATTCATAATGATAATATTTGATTGGAAATAGAGAAGGAGCGAGAGAGATCGACGAACCGAAATATTCAAAAGAAATGTTTCCGAAAATGTTTTTTCCTATATTCATTCCGATGATGTTTTTTTTGAAAAATTTTAAATTTTAAAAAACAAAAATTTTGCGAAAAATAAATAAAAAAATCATCATCATTAACACACCGTTAACAAACGACAAACAAACACCTGTTGTTAAATGAATTACAATGGCAAAAAAAATCAAAAAATCTAAAGGTTTTTTCTTTTGCCCTGATAATGTGTATGCATGTAGCTTGCATCTGTCAATTTTTTACACTGTTTTTTCCAAGTGTAAAATTGCAAGCAAACCTGCACAAGTGTGTGGATGATAATAATAATAAAATTTTTTTTTTGAATAGAAAAAAACCACGAGCATAACACTAAATTAGTAAAGGAGAAAATCTAATACTTATTCATTGGCCATCATCATCATCATCATCGAAACAAATCAAATGCCTGTCTGTCTGTCTTAACACACAGACAATGAATGATTTTCATGTCTTATCAATGATGATGATAATGTTATAAACCAAGTTGTAAAACATCCTTTTTAACTAACTGACTAACTAAGTGAATAACGGGGTTTTTTTCTTCATTCTTTTTGTTGTTAAAGTTCGTTTGTTTCGTTTTTTTTTTTGTTGATTGAAATATAACTCAATTAACACGCTGGACACACACACAAGACACATGAGAAAATAATTGAAAAAAATCAAGCAGCATGAAAAAATCCGTTACATTAACATCATCGACAACAAAGATGTTAATTTAATTGTCTTCAAGATGATGATGATATAATGATTNCGTTTTTCATTCGTTTGCCAAAAAAAAACTAGTTAAAGGTAAAAGAAAAGAATTTTTCCTTCTTGTTGTCGTTCAACTTCTTTGTGAACAACAAAAATCAAGTTATGGAAATTTTCATTTTTCGCTCTTGTCGCTATTTGAGGAAATTTTTTCGGTGTTTTTCTTCCTTCACAATGATCATTCGATCGATTTGGTGATCAAAGATTGGGCGCCCAAAATTCATAATGATAATATTTGATTGGAAATAGAAGAAGGATAGAGAGAGATCGACGAACCGAAGTACATCTGAAAATGTTTTTCCTATATTCATTCCGATGATGTTATTTTTTTGAAAAATTTGAAATTTAAAAAAACAAAAAAAATTTTGTGAAAAAAATAAATAAAAAAAACATCATCATTAACACACCGTTAACAAACGACAAACAACAAACAAACACCTGTTGTTAAATGAATTACAATGGCAAAACTAAAATCAAAAATCAAAAGGTTTTTTCTTTTGCCATGCTGACGATGTGTATGTGTAGCTTGCATCTGTCAATTTTTTTCACTGTTTTTCCAAGTGTAAAATTGCAAACAAACCTGCACAAGAGTGTGGATGATAATAATAAAATTTTTTTTTGAATAGAAAAAAACCACGAGCATAACACTAAATTTGAAAAAGAAACAAAAATCTAATACTTATTCATTGGCCATCATCATCATCAAAACAAATCAAATGCCTGTCTGTCTTAACACACAGACAATGAATGATTTTCATGTCTTATCAATGTTGTTGATGATGATAATGTTATAAACCAAGTTGTAAAACATCCTTTTTAACTAACTAACTAACTAAGTTTGAAAGTAACGGGTTTTTTTTCATTCTTTTTTGTTGATGCTGTTAAAGTTCGTTTGTTTCGTTTTTTTTTTTTTTTTTTGTTGATTGAAATATAACTCAATTAACACGCTGGACACACACACTGGACACATGAGAAAATAATTGAAAAAATCAAGCAGCATGAAAAATCCGTTACATTAACATCATCGACAACAAAGATGTTAATTTAATTGTCTTCAAGATGATGTTATAATGATTGTTTTTTGTCTTGGATTTTTTTTAACCACTAATTAAAACCAAATTATCTTTGGTTTGGTTGGTTGATGTTAGTTTGTAACAAAAAAAAACAACTTACCATTGAATGGCCAAGATATTCAGCTGCATTATCCGAAATATAGAGCAATTTTCCATTCTGTGTCATCATCATAAGAAATCCATTTAATGCCTATTATAGAGTGAATGAGATTTTTCGTGTTGTAATTATTTTAATTATAATTAATTTAATGAAGAAGAAGAGAAAATAATTGATTTTTGGAAACAACAAAAAACTAACGGAGAAGAAACATAATATGAAATGTACACGTTTTTTAACTGTCTTTCTGAGTTTACAGTAGCCTTAAATATGTATTTTCAATAATTAATTGATTAATTCAATTTTCAATCAATCGCTTTTTGATACGAAAAGGGCTAAATTAATTAATTAATCGATAATTTTCAAATGGGAAAAAAAATATTCCATTGATTACATCAATTTCATTATAGTTTTGTGTTTCGCTTATAATTTTTTTTCCTAATTAAAAGCTTTTTTTTATTATTTTGGAATCTGAGAAAAACTTCTAAATGGTTTTAGCTTTTGCAGACAGAAAACTAAAAAATTTTATGATCGTTTTCTTGGTGGTCTCGAAACAAAAAATCTGTTGAAATTAACAACCAATAAAATTTTGCAAACGTAAAATTTCAAGTGACAAAACATGCAAATAACGCGCTATTTTAGCATCCATCACATGCATAAACGATAATAAAATAATCACATTACAGTGAAAAAAAACAGCAGCAACTCACCTTTGAGAAACCAAAATTGGTCATTGACAATTGATGATTATAATGATGATGATGTGGATAATGTGGATGATGATGATGATTATGGTGATGGTGGTGATGATGTGATTGAATCAATTCATGTTTTCGAAATGCTACGATGATGTCCAGATAAACAGATAAATTGAAAATGAAATTAAGGAAAATTAATTAATTAGCAATTTTGTTTGAAGTAATTAAAAAAAAACAGAAAAAAGTGACAAATAAAATCCATTAAATTTGATTAAATTTCCATTTCAATATTCAGATTGGTTGGACTTGAAAAACTGAAGTAAAAAAATCACACCGATGAAATTTCGAGTTTTATTATCATTTTCTTTTCTTTTCATCACTTTAACCCTTTCGCAAAAAACGACATAAAATATATGATAATAGCGATTTCTCAGCCACCATAATTCAATCAATTTGATTTTTTCTGAAAACATCAAAAACAAAACCAAACAAAAAGCCTAACAACAATTTTTGAAATAGTTTTTTTTTGAATTGAGCTCCACCTGAAAAAGAAAACATTTTTATTTTTCAATTGATATTGTCCTTCAAAAAAAATGATGAAGGAAACCGATGATAATGATGATGCTCGAATTTTGATTGTTATGGAACAATAACAAACAACAAACAAAAAAATGAAATGTTTAATTCTAGAAAAAATTCAATGTTCAATTCAGGTTTTGGCCTTTGAATTATTTTTTCTTCTTATTTTGAAAGAATTTTTCACCTGTATTGTCCATGTGCAAGCAAGTAAGCAGGTAAAGAGCTTAAAATTTAAAGATTTTGACAATGACAATGACAAAAAAAAAGATTTAAATAACTAAAGTTTTCTTCCAGTTCATTTCATTCAGTTTTATGGATTTTTTTTCCGAAAAAAATTCAAATAATAAAAAAAAATCGACGACAATGAAATGAAGATGTTATTCGAGGTTGAATACTTCTGGTGGAACAAAGTGCAGCAGATAAACAAAACAAAAATTCAGCAGCCTGTTGAACTTTTTTATTTATGCAGAAAAAAATGAAATAAAATGAATGAAGTGAATGAATGAGAAAAAAGCAAAAAACGATCTACATTTTTCAGCATTTTTGGTTTTATAATTCTATTAACTTTTTTTTGTTGAATGAGTGAAGCTTAACTAAGCTATTTTTTATTCAATTCATTTTGTTCATTCGAATAAAAGAATGAAAGAAACGACGTCGACTATGATAATATGGATTGAACAAAGCAAAACAAAACAAAAAATAAAGTGTCAAAGTTTATTATCATTATCAAACATCATCATTATCGTCGTCATTATAATAAGGGCAAGCCATATATTCAATATGGTGGTGGCTGTGGTAAATGATAATCTTTATGCAGTGGAAAAAAAATCTCATTTAATTTAGTCCATCATCGTCAATTCACATAGAAATTCAATAATAACGATATGACCTTATCATCATCATCACATTATTATTATTATGTTGTCCATTATCGAATGAAACTAAGACGATTTTTTCATTTGCGTAGACAATTTTGTGAATGAAAAAGATCAATTTCTAAATAACCTTTTTGAGATTAGAATTTAGAGAAGGAGGAAAAATTGATTTGATGAAAATTGATTTGGACATTCAAAATGTAACAGTGTGCGCTAAGCACCTAAATATAATCAATATTTCACCACACTGCTATGTGTGAAATAGATTTGGATTTGGAAAAATAGATAGAAAAACTAATCGATTTTGACAATCAATGAACATTTGATGCATAAAGCTAAATGATGAATTTATTAAATAGTGGCGGCGTTGGTGGTGATGGTCATAATCTTCTACGTTTAAAGCAAACCAGATAGAAGAAAAATAAAATTTTGATTTGAATTTGATTTTGATTCAATTTTCCAACAGAAAAAAAAACATTATTTAAAATTGATTCTTTTGGTCATCATCATCATCAACATTCAACATCCAACGACTAGAGGATAATCATTATTAAGAAGAGACCATTAAGAAAAGAAAAGAAAAGAAAACTAAAACCTTTTGTATTGTCATCATCATCAAAGTTTTTTTTTATTTAACAACAAAAAAAAAAGAAAACGATATTGCTTTCGGTGGCAATGAACAATCATTTCTTCTTCGTTATTTTCTAAAAGGAAAGATCCTAGAAAGAGAGAATTGAAAATTGAAAGCCATGAAATGAATCAATTCACTTACAATTCGCAAAACTATGTAAAAATGGCAGCTTCCACATACATTTACCATCATCATCTTTGATCAACAGCAGCAGAAGCAGTATCGAACAACAACAAAGATGCTATTGACCTTAGTTTAATTCAATTCGACATTTTTTTCTTCACTGAATACAATTCATCATTATTATTTGAAAATGATGATGGTGATGGTGGTGGTGATCAGGGAGAAATTTGATTTGACTTGTTTTGCAAAAAAAAAGAATCTTGAAAGTGAACAAGGGACCACTGTACAATATGTTTGACATTCAAACATCAACGACAACATTGATATTTATCTCTTTTTTTCAATGGACAGATGATGCTTTGGTTGAGATTTTCTTAGATATCCATAGATATCATCATCATATTTTTTCAATGTCAAAATCTTTTCTATTTTTTTCCCTCCATGATGATGATCAAAGATAACCCAAAAAATGAAGAAAAATTTCACTTTTTTTCCCAATTTAAACATCATCAAACATCGCCATAAGAATAATATTGATATTCATATGATGCTAATGATGATTTTCAATATTGACAGTTGAAAAATATTCATTCGGTGTGTGTGTGTGTGTTTGTGATTAGCATTTCTCGGTTTCATTTTTGGTCATTCAGATTTTTTCAGAAGAAGAAGAAATGAAAAAAATCAATATTTATTGATCCTTCACTCTGTCAATCTATTTCTGGCTAAAAGATTTTAGCCAAGTAGATTTAGTTTTGTTTTCTTGCTGATCAGCATAAGCTTCTCTGGATTTTTTTTATTCCAACTTCGTCTTCGTTGAATCATAATGATGATGATTTGAATTTTTTTAAAAACCCCCACCACAAAAGAAAGTAAACTACCAAGCAAGAAACCAACCACTGTGAAGATTGAAACATAGCTTTTCAAATTTTTGTTATTTTGTCCAGGCTTTAGGTTTTTTTTTCTGATCTCGCAACAAAAACAACGAAACGTGAAAAGCATCAAACATAGATCGGTCATTGATTTTTCGTCAGGTTTTTCCCCTTCGATCATTCATTCATTCAATAAACCAATCACATCCTTTCTTTGTTTTTTATCATCAAACAAACAAACAGAAAACTTACCATATTGAAAATAGTTTGCTTTTCGTACATAAACACAAACTAATGCCATCAATTGTAATTGTGATAAACGTTGCCTTGTTGATGATGGTAATGGTAATAGATCTCTAAGATTGGCAATTTCTGAATTGATCAGATCTCGTCGTAATTTTGATGCTCCTTTTGTTGATTTGGTTGCATCGAAGCTATTTTTTTCAAAAAAAAATGAAGAAAAAAAGGAGAAAAAAAGTTAGAAAATCAATCGATTAAGTGAATTGAAAATTGATTTATTCTGATATAAATCGGATAAATCATTGATTTTGTCCAAATATTGAATTTAAAAAACTCAAAAAAAGTAAAGTTTATCATCATTATCAAAGATCAAAGGTGATTTGAAAATATAGTGAATGAAAATAACGATGCTAAAACAGGTGAAAGGTGACCGTTTTGTTTTTTCTTTGCTGTCTTTGCTTAGTTTGGTTTAGTTTGCCCACACACCGAGCATCATTTTTGAAAAAATCTTCGAAAAAACTTTTTTTTTTGGTTGAAAAAAATCCAATCAAAAATAATCAATCAAATCGATTGATAAATGGAAATGATCAATGAAGAAAATCTGTTTGATTGAATTCATTTCCAATTCTTTTTCTTTTTGCTTGAATTTTTTCTTGATTAATCAATTTTTAAAACCGGGATAGAAAAAAAAACAAAATCGATTCGAGAAAATTTTCATTGAATAAACTTGAAACAGAAATTTCGATATCGATTTATTTTCGTTTCGTTCAGAAAAATCTTTTAAATCAATTTAAATCGGTAGTTTGCTTGTTTTTTTGCTGCAAGTCTAGGCAATGATAATCATTATCATCCTCCAAAAGCATCAATCTACGCTTAAATGTAAATTTTGTTTGCAAAAAACAAACAGAAATGCTGTTGAATATCAATAAACAACATCGAAAAAAATGATGAATATGAATAGGATGATGTGATAATAGTAACAACCGTGTAAAACGAGTGGTCAAATTTTAATAAAAATTGAATTGAAAAGATTTTCGTGATTTTTACTTTATTATCATCATCATACGAGAAACACACACACCTGTTCGATTTTTATTATTGTCGTCATCGATAATGATGATGATCATCATAATTATCATTATTAGAAAGTTGAATAGTGAAAAACAACAAAAACCGAAACGAATAGAATTTGTTTTCGTTTTTGTTCAATTTTTGTTCAATTCGACTTTTGAAGAATTTTTCATTGATAGAAATTTTCAATTCATTCAGCAAATCAAATGAATTAATTTTTTTCTCAAAAAAGCAATTAATGAAAAAATGTTAATTATTTTATGATTTTTCAAGAAAAATGATTGAAAAAACACATGTTGTCCACTTTAATAATGTCAGAATGACATTCTTTTCAATCATAATATTTTAACAACAACGGAAAAATTTATTACATCCTTGCTATTGCGTATCGAAACAATGTTATAATGAAAAAAAAAATTAATTTACATAAATCGATGGTCAAATTGGAAATTTTCATTGATCATAATGATGATGATCACCATCATCATCAATAATGATAAAGTATCAATTACAAAATATTGAATTCTTTTCTTAGCCGCCACCGCTACCATAACAAACAAAAATTGATTATTTTATTGAAAATATTGCCAAAATAAACCAAAAAAAAAAAATTATTACCCGAAATTCAAACACAAACACAAATTAACTATCATCATCGTCGTTATTATTGTCAAAAAACACCAACCGAAACAATCATCAACACGCAATCCTGTTTGGCAAAACAAAAAGAACAACAATTTTACAATTTCACATTCAATAACCTAAAGATCATCATCATCAAGGTTTTCGATAAGATCCAATTATTATTGTTATTGTGTAACATCGAATCAATCATAATATGCGGTATTTTTGTGGTTGGAAAACAACCAACCACAAATGATGATGGTGGTGGTGTTTTTGTTCATACACCATTNGAAAGTTGAATAGTGAAAAACAACAAAAACCGAAACGAATAGAATTTGTTTTCGTTTTTGTTCAATTTTTGTTCAATTCGACTTTTGAAGAATTTTTCATTGATAGAAATTTTCAATTCATTCAGCAAATCAAATGAATTAATTTTTTTCTCAAAAAAGCAATTAAAGAAAAATGTTAATTATTTCGATTTCAAAGGAAAAAAATGATTATGAGAAAAACACATGTTGTCCACTGTTAATAATGTCTCAGAATGACATTCTTTTCAATCAATAATATTTTAACAACAACGGAAAAATTCATTACATTACATTGCGTATCGAAACAATGTTATAATGAAAAAAAATTAATTTACATAAATCGATGGTCAAATTGGAAATTTCCTTTTGATCATAATGATGATGATCACCATCATCAATAAAGTATCAATTACAAAATATTGAATTCTTTTCTTAGCCGCCAAAAATTGATTTTTACAAACCAAAAAAATTGATTATTTATTGAAAATATTGCCATAATAAACCGAAAAAAAATTATTACCCGAAATTCAAACACAAATTAACTATCATCATCGTTATTATTGTCAAAAATCAACCGAAACAATCATCAACACGCAATCCTGTTTGGCAAAACAAAAGTACAACAATTTTACAATTCACATTCAATAACCTAAAGATCATCATCAAGGTTTTTTTTCGATAAGATCCAATTATTATTGTTATTGTGTAACATCGAATCAATCATAATATGCGGTATTTTTATTTTGTTTTGTTTGTGGTTGAAAACAACCACAAATGATGGTGATGCTTTGTTCATACACCATTGAACAACAGATATTCATTATTATCATCGTCATCATCATCAAGATGATGATGTTCAGTCAACAAAATGGCTCAATTATCTTTCAATTGATGATGATTTCAATTGATTTTCGTTTGTTGTTGTTTGTTGTAATTCATCAAAGAATCGGTTATCGACCGAAAACAACAACAAGATAACAAAAGACAAAAGAAACCGACATTGAAATTTTTGTTGTTGTTGTTGTTCGGTTCGATTCGGTAATGATGATACGATAATCAAACTATAACTTTAATCGTCATCATCATTAACAATCCATCATCATTGTTATACAATGTTTTTGTTGTTTTTCGGAATTTTTCATGATTTCGATGCGCAAAGATTTTTTCAAAACAAAAGTGATTCAAATGATGCATTACATTTTAAATCAAATCAAATCAAATTATCAGTCAGATTTTTTTTTTGTGTTCAAAATTTTTGATTATTCAAAAACAAAAACAAAACTTCTATAAATTATCATTGGTTGAATGTGTGTGTGTGTTTGATCAAGTGTGATTCAAATCAAATTGTAATCAAAATAAATGTCCAATAAATCTTTCATTTTGATTATAATTTCAAGGAGGGTTTCTTTATTTTCTTCATTTTGCTGTATTTTAGAAAAAAATGTTGAATCTTTGAAGAAATTTATCGATGTTTGTTTTGGATGATTGGAAAATTGCCAAGTTTTTTTTCCATTTGCTACTGTATATTTTTGATTTGATATTTTGGAATTTAATCAAACAAAAACTATGTGTGTTGATTAAGGTATTTTTTTCCCCATTAACATAGTTGACAAGAAAAGATATTTACGATCATCGAATGAATTGGTTGGAATAGAATAAGAATAATAAACAGTCGGAAAGGTATTTTTCTCTCGAACACATCGTACATCATTCATTTGAATGAATGAATAATTTGATTGAAACAACAACAACAACAACAAATCATTTTGCTTGTTGATGAAATTAAAAATGCAAACAAGCAGATGCATCACAACAGTGAAAAAAAAGATCAACAAAAAAAAGCCCAAAAATTATAAATTCAACAAAAAGCTAAAGTCAATTCTACATCTTCCAGTTTCTCCAGTTTGCCCTTCACAAAATCAATGAATGTTTTTTTGTTATTTTGATTGCTAAATTCATTGATACACAGCATGAAAATGGAGAATCTATTTGATGATTGACGGTTTGTCAATTGTCGATCGATGTCAATCATTGTGGATGGATATTTTGGGCAAAATAAGAAGAAAATCTCTTATTTTTAATCGTTAATTTACATATTTTTCTAAGTATGTTTTTTTTCTTTGTTTCTACAATGACGACAATGACACATTCTCTACATACACCTGTCTGTCGGAAATAGACTTTATATTTTTTGAGATGTAAGATTATCATATTTTAATATTTTGTTTTTGCTTTTGTTTTTACATCATTCAGGAAAAAAAGTCAAGTTTTTTTTCAATATCAATATTCACATACCTGCACATTTGCAGCAGATTTGGTGTCGAGGCTAGCATCATTTTTGCTGAATTTTTCGTTTGTTGAAATTGAAATTCACAAGTTTGATTTAACACTTCACTTGAATTACACAACAAACAAAAAAAATCACAAAACACGGAATACACAGAATTTTGAAATTCGCTTTCAATTTCACAATGAATAAATTCAATAAAATAAACAAAAGTGATGAATCTGGTTGAATATGGAAATCGTGATAACAAGTCGATCACATCATCATCATCAAAACTGATTCATGATCTAATCGACACCGTTTTTTAGCATCATCATCTTGGTTTCACGATCAAAAATCACGAAACAAAACTATCTATTGTCAAGGTAATCAGTAGCCGAACACGAATCGGGCGCGATTAAAAATTAATAATGTTGTTTGGTACGTGATACCGTTTGTTTGAAAAAATTCGTGCCGATTCTCTTTCTATCATTCAACCCTAAATATTCACGGTTTTCATGGTTGATGTGATCGATATTATCATTATCATCATAATCAGTAAGAAATGTGCGAAATCGTGATTACACGATCGATCGACGAATTAATGAATCGTGTTGGATAACGATTTGAAAAAATTGAACGTATCGAACACAATATTTTTTTCGCTCCGTATCGAACAGCAACCGAATTGAAACTGAATAAGGTGAGATCACGAACTGAAGAACATCAAACAGCGAACCATTTTTGCTTCTGCTGATGCTGATTTACCTGTTGTACCTTTTTTTCTGCTGTATCTGGCTGCTGCAACACATATACAATATTTTTGCAATGTGAATGGAAAATAAGAAGAAGATCGAGATATAACTTGTTGAATGTTGATTCTGAATTGAGAGAAATCTCTCTTTTTTTTCCTGAAGAAAGAGAATAAGAGAAAAAGAGATACCTGTTGATGGTTTACCTTAACTAACTGTTGATAATGCTGCTACTATGTTGATGGTGATCTAGAAATTTTTTTTCTCAAAGAAAATGTTATACATTCAGAAAAAGATGAAAAAAAGGTGTGCATCTTTTATGTGCATGTTTTATTTTGCCTTGCTTTTGTTTCAATTTATCGTCCAATGATTTTGGCCAATGATTTTGATCGACAAAACAAAAACAAGATCAAAAACAAAAACAAAAGCAAAAAGATGGGAGGGATTGTTTATCATTGAATCAAAGCTATTTGATCAACTCCTATTTTTTATTTTTTTTGTTCTTCACTTGTTGCTGCTGTTGTCCTCAATGTTTTAATGATTTTTGATTTTGGAAAAACGATTGAACTTGATCAATATTGATTTGGGAAGGGGGAAAGATCAATTTTTTGGAACCAAATTTTGGTTTGATTTGGTTTTCTGGGAAATTTATTTTTCCATGAAAAAAATTAACGAAAAATTTTTCAGAATGGAAAAATCTTTGCCAAAGCGAAATAGAATGAGGATCAATAAGTCACGATTCGACATTCACCTATGATGATGACTATGATATACTAATCATATGTGTATGATGGTAAGATATGTTTTATTTTCAAAGCAAAAAACAAAAAAACAAATTTCGTTTAAATCTAGATAATGATGATAACATCAATGTTGTTGATGATAATGATGGTTTGATTTGATTTGATTTTGGTGAAATGATTCGATGATGATTACAGATTCATAATCGTTTGAATATTATCCTTTGTTAATTACCTATTGGAAAACAGAAAACTTTTGTTTTTTTCATTTCATTTAATGTTTAATTTTATCTATGATTAATAATTTTTGATCAGATTAAAATCAGTAATCAAATAGGAAATGAAATGAAAAACATGTGATAAATATAATGAACATATGCAGTATTGGATTTTTAACACTTCGTTACCTGTTCCTTTGTTTTTGTTATGTGTTTTTTCATCAAAATTTTGAATTTGAATTGTTTGGTTTTGTTTTTTGTTTCAAAATGGAATAATTTTCTCATTTTTCATTTTTTTTTTCTTTACAAACAAATAACCATTTGTAGCGGTTTTCCGTTTTGTTGTTCTATGAAACATCCATACATCCAATACATTATATAATCATCATATATGGGGCTTTAATGGGATATTTTTGTTATTGTTGTTGTTACGTTGTAATTACAAATTCTAATTGTTATCATTAGTTATTTCTTTATCCCTTTTTTACCAATAATGCATTGTTGTTAAACCCCGATGAATCTTTAATCTTTCGATACAATATATAATTACAATGGAAGGAAAAAAACAAGAAAAAAAATCAAACAAAACAAAAAGAAGGTGGAGAATGGATGGATTAATATAGTCAGTGTGGTTGTGGAAATTGCCGCATCATTTTTGAATCAAAAAAAACAAACGGCCAACCACTTCTTTATATTTATATTTTGATCGATCCATTTTTTTCGCTGATTTGCTGATGAGATTTTTTTTATTATTACTAACACTGTGTGAGCACCATGCACAAACATTTATTTTAATCCTGGATCAAAATGGATATATAGGTTTTGTTGTTTTTGTTTCTTCAAACAACAACAACAAAATTTTGTTGTTATCTTTAAATCAACAACAACAACAAGTTGAATAATAACAATAAGTTATTAAAAACGAAATGTAACTTTTTTTATTTTCTTTTGCGGTTTTTCGTTGATCGTTATTATTATTATTATTATGATTGTAATCTTTTGTTTCTATCGATTTATGATACAAACACACACACACACATAACACATCCATCGTAAATCCTTAATGAATGTGTGGTGATGTTTGCCAGAAATATTTTTCCAAACTTGTAATCAAGAAAAAAAATGAATGATAAATGGGGATCACATCCTTGTATGAACGTTATTTATGAATGAAATGAAATGAATATATAGAAATGGGCAATGCCCAAAATGGGCCAATTATATTTCAAACGAAACAAAAAAACAAAAGAAAAAGACAATGGACAATTTTTTTTCTTGACCATATCTACAAATAATAATGAGAAAAAAAACTGAACTTTATAATTGATCTTCAATTGATTAATAATAATGATCAGAATGAAGCCAAAAACACAACACTTGTTGCAACATCAATAACTATTGAATAATTCTTTCATTTGTATGGATGGATGTATGATTATCCTTTTGTTTGTTACACTAATCTGAATGAAATTTTTGTTTTTCTGATGATAATTATTGTTGATCAGAAGATAAAAAAAAACAAGAAATATTCTGAATTTCTGAATTGCCATTCCTTTTAGTTTGTATTTGACAAGGGGATTAAATATCTGCTCAAAGTGCAAATCAGAAAATCTTTCATTAAAATTTCACATTTTTCAGAAATAAAACTAAGGCAAAAAAGGATGATGTTTATTATAACTGACCTATAATATTTTTTTTCATATTTTTTTCATCATCATCATAATCATCATTAATAATAATGACCAAAAAAACTAAAAAACAAAAAAAAAAAAAAAATCATTATGATTATGATCAACTTTACTGCCCAAAAAAAAGATGATGATGGTGGCCATCATATTTTGTCGAATCAAGTCCATTGATAATTTAGGTCCATATAATTTATGCATATGTAACATCCATCGTGTGTGTCATTAAAATAATAATAATAATAATTTTCATTCATTTCATTCATCATCATCATCATTGGCTGTGTGAATAATTAAAAATGATGAAATGAACGAAGAAAGAAAATCTGATATAAACAACCTATATATCTCCTTCGAACATGAGATGTTTTCATTTCGATAAAACATCGAAAATATCTTTAATAATCTTCTCTCTCTTTGCATCGATTTTCTCGATTGCTTAGCTTTGCTTATCAAGTGGATTTTATCTGAATTTTTTCTTTTTTGGAATGGTTTTTCATCATCATCATCCTATGATGTTTCTTTCTCCCTATATATGATATTCTAAAATACTAATTATTTTCATCATCATAATCATAATGATAATCAAGAAAATAACCAAACCTACGTTTAATCATCCTATATATGATGTCTGTTGCTTGCTTGTTCGGAAAATACATGGCTTTTTTCAACTGAAATTTCCCTACCATTATAATGTAATGGTGGGTGGATAAATGTGCAAAAGGATGGATGGAAGGAAAAAAAGTGGTAGCGTCAAACCGTAGATAATGTTAATCTGATATCACATAAATAGGATGATGATGATAATGATGACCTGAATGAAAATCTATATAATAACCGAACTTGTTTTTTTCCATTGCAAATAAATAAATATCCGGTATTATCATCGATGGATCGGGCCAAAAAGCAATGAACATTAAATTAATTTTCATCCATTTTTCTTAAATACTGAAGGAATGAAGGATAATGAAGGATTAATTGAAATCTTAGATCAATAATTAATCAAAATAATTTTGAAAAAAAAACAATTTTAATCACATCAATCTGATCTGATATCGATATCGTATTTTATATGAAAAAAAAACTATTGAAAGATTTATAGTTGAATTTTTACGTTTTCTTTTGAATTAAGCTGCTCATCACACACACACAGACTAACTAACTACAACAACTACTATATTACAAACAACAAACAATCATTAATCGTTTTTGATTAGTGTTCAATTAATAATAATTTTTTTTTTGGCCAAATAAAAAAATCAGAATGAAAATGTAATGCATTTTTCTTTACTTACTTATGCATCATTGTACTTCGTTTTAATATGAAGAACGTGCGCCCGATCGAACATCGATCGAATCCTAATTGATCAAAAAAAAATCTTTCCCGGATCTATTGATTAGAGATTCTTTTCGAAGCAAATGGAAGAAAATCCATATAATGATCATCATCATATTACTTGACTGCATTCAAACTTTTTTTTGTAACTGTTGTTGCTGTTCATTATAAACATATTTTGATAATAGCAATAATAAGTAGCCAAATTGAAAGAGTGAAAATTGTTTAATAATTATATCCATATAATTATTGATTTGTGATTTGTAATAATCAATAAAAAAAAATCCTCCATTGAGATCATCAAAAAAAAAGGTCACCATTATCATCATCATCATTTGGGGGATTTCAAAATTCAATTTTTTGAATTTTATTAACTTTTTAAAATTAATAAAGACGGATGCTGAGGATGCTAATGCGATGTGTGTATGAAAGAATATGATAGTCCTATGATCCGCCAGGATTTACCTGGATCCATTTCTTGTGAAAAAATATCCTTAATCCCCTCCAGTCTATTGAACTCTTTGTTTTGTTTTGTTGTTTCTTTAGGCGAGAAAAGAAACAGATAAAAAACTTAATTGAAAAAACATATTGAATATTTTTCAAAATTATACTTTGAAATCACTATTCACTTTAGTCGAAATAGCTGAAAAAAAAACAAAAACAGGCATTTAAAACATTTTTGATGATCATTCTGAAATGCGAATTTAATTACTTTATTTATTTATTTTTATATGTTTTTTTTCTTGCTTTTGTTTTCATCAATTTGATTATTCGATGAAATTTAACTACAGCCCTTACA